GATTATCTTTCCATCCAATGGTGTTTCTTCATTTTTCCAGTGCTCAGCAAATGCAATCCTTGCTGCAGTTAATACATGTAATGTTAAACATACACATTGTTTATCATTTTTTTTTCTGGAATTAAAAAAAAGTTCAGGTTTAAAATCTACGTGTTTCCCTAACTTTTTTTCTAACCAGGTATGTATTTTTGTCCAATATTTTTTTTTTCGCTTTAATACACGTCCACCACAGGTGATAGTATGGACCAGGTTTTTGGCTACATTCCCAACATTTCCTAGACATATTTTTAAACAGTTTTGCTGATCTGGCAGGTGGTAAGTGCCCTCTATAAAACCTTTTAAATATAGGCTTTCTTTATACGAAGTTGCCATTGTCAATTTATAGTTTTTTTCCCATAGATTTTGCCGTTTCTCTAATCCTACACTGCATCCAAAATTTTTCGCCCATATTATCGTTCTTTCTTTCACTTGTTCGTCTTTCATCTTCAAATTCAATAAAAAGTTACACAATTTCTTCATCCGTTTTTTTTTTTTAAATCAGAAGTCAGTAACATCTGATCAAACATTGTAACCAACATTCCAGGCTCCAGTGTGGCTTGCTGCAGAGGTAGATCATTTACAGGTGGCTTCTGAAAGCCTTGGGTCTGCTGCTTAAAGACCTCCAAAGGTTCTTGCCCAATGGTAACATTTAATGTGACAGAAGGGGAAAATAATTAAATGCATGACTGCAGAGTAATCACGTTAAGTATATTTAGTTTTAATTAAATTTACATTTAAATGAAGTCGGATCTAATTTAGTTTCAGCTCGGTCTTCAACTGCGACGTTTTGAAGAGCCGTCTCTGGCTAAGCAACGGATGGCTGCTGTTCATTCCTCCAATGAAATCTGAATTAAAAATTATTTTGCTCTTTCCTCTGAATAAGATGTCTAACTGTGTCCATAGTCCTTGTCTTCTAAACCCACCCAACACAGTCCTTGGGGGTATACCAGCTCTATATGCAAAAATAAAAGGGACAGTACAGGTTGGTTGATTGATTGACTATGGGCCATCAAGTCATTTTTGACTCCGAAAGAGTAGAGTAGAACAGAGTGGAACACAGGGGAACTACCAGAGGACTGGAAAAGAGCTGATGTAGTTCCCATCCTCAAAAAAGGAAAAAAAATGGATCCAGGAAATTACAGACCTATCAGCCTGACCTCAATACCTGGGAAGATCCTGGAAAAGATAATCAAACAACGAATCAACGAACACCTAGAGGCAAACAAAGTCATTACTAAAAGCCAAAATGGGTTTGTCAAAAATAGATCATGCCAGACAAATCTTATTGCATTCTTTGACCAAGTGACAAAATTAGTGGATCAGAGGAATGCTGTGGACATAATTTACTTGGACTTCAGTAAGGCATTTGATAAAGTAGATCACAAACTACTACTTGACAAGATAGAAAAATGTGGGGTAGACAGAACCACCACCAGATGGATCCGTAGCTGGCTGACCGGCCGTACTCAGCGAGTGGTCCTCACTGGAACTGCATCTATATGGAGGGAAGTGTGTAGTGGGGTGCCCCAGGGCTCTGTTCTGGGCCCAGTACTCTTCAACATCTTCATCAACGATTTGGATGAAAGGATAGATGGGGAACTCATCAAATTTGCAGATGACACCAAGCTGGCAGGAATAGCCAACACTCCAGAGGACAGGCTTAAGATACAGAAGGATCTGGACAGACTTGAACACTGGGCACTAACTAACAAAATGAAATTCAATGGTGAAAAAAGCAAGGTTCTACATTTAGGCAAGAAAAACCAAATGCACAAGTACAGCATAGGTGGCACCATGCTCAATAGTGAGAGGGACAATAGTAACTGTGAGAGGGACCTCGGAGTCCTAGTAGACAATCACCTAAATATGAGCCAGCAGTGTGCTGCAGCTGCCAAAAAGGCCAACACAGTGCTAGGCTGCATTAACAGAGGGATAGAATCACGATCACGTGAAGTATTAATACCACTCTTCAATGCCTTGGTAAGGCCACACTTGGAATACTGCATCCAGTTTTGGTCACCACGATGTAAAAAAGATGTTGAGACTCTAGAAAGAGTACAGAGAAGAGCAACAAAGATGATTAGGGGACTGGAGACTAAAACATATAAGGAACAGTTGCTAGAATTGGGTATGTCTAGTTTAACGAAGAGAAGGACAAGGGGGGGGACATGATAGCACTATTCCAATATCTCAGGGGCTGCCATAAAGAAGAGGGAATCAAGCTATTTTCCAAAACACCTGAAGGCAGGACAAGAAGCAACAGGTGGAAACTAATCAAGGAGAGAAGCAACCTAGAACTAAGGAGAAATTTCCTGACAGTGAGAACAATTAATCAGTGGAACAACCTGCCTCCAGAAGTAGTAAATGCTCCAACACTGGAAGTTTTTAAGAAGAGACTGGACAGCCATTTGTCCGAAATGGTGTAGGGTTTCCTGCCTGAGCAGGGGGTTGGACTAGATGACCTCCAAGGTCCCTTCCACCTTTACTACTATTATTAGAGTAGAGTAGAGTAGAGTAGAGTAGAGTAGAGTAGAAGAGAACAGAACAGAATAGCAAATGGAATGGAATGGAATGGAATAGGGTAGGGTAGGGTAGGAAACAGAACAGAACAGAATAATAATAGAAAATAGAATGGAATGGAATAGAAAAAATGGAATGCAGTGGAATAGGGTAGGGTATAGAACAGAACAGAACAGAACAGAATAGAATAATAATAATAGAAAATAGAATGGAATGGAATGGAAAGGAATGGGGGGGGGGGAGAAGAGAAGAGAAGACACGAAATGATGCTTTATTGGCCAAATGTGATTGAACAGACAAGGAATTTGTCTCCGGTACAGAAGCTCTCCGTGTACATACAAAAAAACCACAAATAGATTTTCTCCAGTATGATCTATCGCTAACTTGTTCTTTCGTGTCTCCTAATAATGTTCCCCTCCCCTTGCCACATCTCTGCGCATTTTTGCATGAAAGCAGGGATCTCCAAACTTCGCAACGTTTAAGACTTGTGGACTTCAACTTCCAGAATTCCTCAGCCAATCACGCCAGCTAGAGATTTCTGGGAGTTGAAGTCCACAAGTCTTAAATTGATCCAAATTCGGAGACCCCTGCATTAGGGACTGAGTATGTGTAAGGCTGACCTTCAAACGTCATTCGGAATGATTTTGAGAGGGGTTGAGATCAAAGCAAATTGAGGCAAAACATCTCGGCAATCGTGCCACCGTCGGCGTGTGCATGAACAGGTCACACTCAGAGAAAGTATGAAAAATGAAATACATGAATAACTCGGATGTGGGTGGAGAAAGCCTCAATCCCAATCTCATATTTGCAATTTTGGGATCGTTCTTGTCTACTGGTCTACTTATCCATACAGGTAAGTCCTGGATTTAGGATCATCCTTGAGCCCAGAATTTACAGCAGTGGCCAAAATTGTGGAAACCTTTTGGGAAAAGTGTACAGTAGAAATGCCACCTTTGGTTACGTTTCCACGCATTTTGCTTCTTATTTCTTTATAATTGTAGCCTTGTTCACTGAATAAACACTATTTTACATCGCTCTCTGGGCGACCAGTCAACTCTTTGCACCATTCCTTTAATTTTATTATGTTTTACAAGCTCACTCAATGAAAGAACACACACAAACCCAACCAACTTCACAGCGATCACATAACACACTGACAAATGTCCTCCTCTCAGCTTCAATACATGACATCAATAATTGAATCCTACTGTAATCTGATTGGCTCATGGCCAAAGCAAGATGAACCCAATTGACTCTCTAAACCAGTGGTTCTCAACCTTTTTAATGCTGCGACTCCCAACTGGTCGTAAGTCGAGGACTAAACCGGTTGTAAGTCGAGGACTACCCAACCTGTCGTAAGTCGAGGACTTTCCCTGCCCGGGAGCACCACACATGCGCGGTGCCGCCCCCTGCGCCGGCCGAGGCGTAGCTGGCAAGCGGCAGAGACGGAGCAGGCCGACCACCGGCTGGGCCACCAGCTGGCCCAGCCCAAGGGAGGTAAGGCACCCACCGGAAAAGGCGGAAAAAATGGCGGACAGCCTTGCTTGGCGACCCCCGTGAAATGATCGAATGACCCCAAATGGGGTCGCGACCCATAGGTTGAGAACTGCTGCTCTAAACACTTGTGCTTATTGGCTACAATCAGATGAAGGGAAAGCTACCTGAGATCAACCTAAGCAAGTTATGCTTCCTTTTTCTGGTTATTTGGCTATAACTTTTCATAGAATACAGTACAAATAATCGGACACACTTTGTTGCATTACCTTCTTGATTAAATTATCTCTCCATTGATATATAATTTTACAATACTACTCCCCCCCAAAAAAGTGGTATTATTAGCCATCAAACCTCAAAAAATACACTTTTCCCAAAAGGTTTCCACCATTTTGGCCACTACCGTATGTTGCTAAGCGAGACAATTGCTAACTGAGCTTTGTCCCTCTTTACGATCTTCCCTGCCGCTGTTCGAAAGTGATTCACTGCAGTTGTTCAACTAGTCACACATTTATAATATGAATCTGGCTTCCCCATGGACTTTGCTGGTCACTTGACCCCGGGACACTGCGACCGTCATAAATATGAGTCAGTTGACCAGTGTCTGAATTTTGATCACGTGACCATGGGGATGGCTGCAACGGTCGTAAGTGCGAAAAACGGTCCTAAATCCCTTTTTTCAGTGTTGTCGTGACTTCAAACGGTCGCTAAATGAACTGTCGTAAGTTAGGGACAGCCTGCCATTCTTCTCAGGTGCCTTTTCTGATCCCTTCTTTTCAGTACAAAAATGGGACGGGTCATCCTAGAATCAAAAAAAAAGAAAAAAGAAAAGAATTGGAATATGATAAATCCTATTTGCCCAGCTGCTAGCTGTATCTTTCTATTAAAAATGTTCATCTATGGATTTTTGAACTCACGGTTTTCTTCCTTATTTTGTTTTTTTCCAGAGTGATATGTTGGATGTCAACCAGATCATTAAAGACTTGGCATCTATGGTGTATGAACAGGGAGACACAATAGGTAGGTATCATCCTAGTTCTTATGCGTTGAATTTTTTCTATCAAGGTAAGATAAGATAAATGACTTAGATGAGGGAATTGAAGGTTGTTGTTAGTTCCGAAGTCATGTCCAACCCATCACCACCCCATGGACAATGTTCCTCCAGGCCTTCCTGTCCTCTACCATCTTCTGGAGTCCATTGAAGCTCACACCTCCTGCTTCAGTGACTCCATCCAGCCACCTCATTCTCGGTCATCCCCTTCTTCTCTTGCTCTCCATCTTTCCCAGTATTAGGCTCTTCTCCAGGGAGTCCTTCCTTCTCATTAGGTGGCCAAAGTACTTGAGTTTCAACTTCAGGATCTGGCCTTCTAAAGAGCAGTCGGGGTTGATCTCTTCTAGGACTGACCGGTTGGATCGCCTTGCAGTCCCGGGGACTCGCAGGAGTCTTCTCCAGCACCAGAGTTCAAAGGCCTCAATTCTTTGGCGCTCAGCCTTTCTTATGGTCAACTTTCACAGCCATACATTGCAATTGGGAAAACCATGGCCTTGACGATAAGCACTTTTGTTGGCAGGGTGACGTCTCTGCTTTTTAGTATGCTATCTAGATTTGCCATAGCTTTCCTCCCCAGGAGCAAGCGTCTTTTAATTTCTTGGCTGCAGTCCTCATCTGTGGTGATCTTGGAGCCCAGGAAGATAAAATAAAATCTGTCACTAGGAATTGAAGGGGAGCTCATTAAATTCACAGATGACATCAAATTGGCAGGAGTAGTCAACACCCCAGAAGACCAACTCAGGATCCAAAAAGATCTTGACCAACTTGAACAATGGGCCCTATCCAACAAAATGAGTTTTACTGTGGAGAAAAGCAAAGTTTTACATTTAGACAGGAAAAACCAAAGGAACAAATACAGACTGGGCAAGACCTGGCTCAAAACCAGTAACTGTGAGAGGGACCTTGGAGTCCTAGTGGACGATCACTTGACTATGAGCCAGCAGTGTGCAGCAGCAGACAAAAAAGCTAACACAATCCTGGATTGTATAAACAGAGGCATAGAATCAAGATCACATGTAGTATTAGTACCACTTTATAAGACCACACCTCAAATACTGCAGCCGCTTTTGGTCACCATATCACAAAAAAGATGTTGAGAGTTTGGAAAAAATTCAGACAAGAGCAACTAAGATGATCAAAGGCCCGGAGGCTAAAACATACGAAGAACAGCTGCGGGATTTAGGTCTGGCTAGTCTAAGGAAAAGAAGAAATAGGGGAGACATGATAGCGGTCTTCCAGTATCTCAGGGGCTGCCACAAAGAAGAGGGAGTCAAGCTATTCTCCAAAGCACCTGAAGGCAGGACAAGAAGCAACAGATGGAAAGTAACCAAGGAGAGAACCAACCTAGAACTAAGGAGAAATTTCCTGAAGCGTGAGAACAATTAACCAGTGGAACAACCTGCCTCCAGAAATTGTGAATGCTCCAACATTGAAAGTTTTTAAGAAGAGACTGGACAGCCCTTTGTCTGAAATGGTATAGAGTTTCCTGACTGAGCAGGGGGTTGGATTAGATGACCTCCAAGGTCCCTTCCAACATCATCATCATCGTTATTATTATTATTATTATTATTCCCAGAATTCCTGAACCAGCCATGCTGACTCGGGAATTCTGGGAGTTGAAGTCCCCAAGTGATAAAAGAGCCAAGGTTGCCTACCCCCTGGTTTGAGTCCTCCTGCTTGAGCAGGGGGTGGACTAGAAGACCTCCAAGGTCCCTTCCAGCTCTATTCTATCGTATTCTAGACCAGATGCTGTCGATCGTCCCTCTGTAGAAAGTGGTCAGGACAGGGGAAGGTAGATGTCCCTTTCTCAGGCGACGTAGAAAATGCATGTGCTACTGTGCTCACTTCACATCACGTAGCGCAACATAAATTCTAGGCTTAATTGTGATCGTAAGTTGAGGACTAGCTGTATTTACTGAGCTTCCTAGAGTGTAGCTTGAGATGCGCCAACAGAGCAGTCGTTAAATAGCACAGGTTTAGCCGTCCCTTTGTGTCCCGTAATTACCTGCCCTTCTTTTCATTTATAGATAGCATTGAGGCAAACATCGAAACGGCCTCCTCAAATGTCGACTCTGCCAACGAGCATTTGGCCAAAGCGAGTCAGCATCAAGTAAGTGGATTGTTTTAAAGGAGAGAAACAGACGACGGGGTGTGTACAGGTTCCTTCTCCAAGTTTGTGGATTGGTTTCTGAACATTTTGTAGGCTGGGCTAGGTAACGAATTTGAGAGGTGTCAGTGTCAGCATTCTTCCGCTTGTAAGAGTTAGGGTGGTCAGTAGGTCTTGTGAGGGGGAGGTGTGTGTCATGTCAGGTGAGATTCTTGTGATGTGTCTTGTGAGGAGCCTTGTGACGGGTCAGGTGTGGGTCACATTAGCTGAGATGATGTGCCTTGTAAGGGGTCTTGTGAGGGGTCATGTGTGAGTCACATCAGCCATGAAGGTCATGTCAAATCTTGTGATGGGTCTTGTGATGGGTCACATGAGAGTCACCTCAGGTGAGGGTCTTGTGAAGTCAGGTGTGGGTCACATCAGCTGAGGTGATGGGTCTTGTGAGGGGTCAGGCATGGGTCACATCAGCTGAGGGTCTTGTGATGGATCTTGTGAGGGTCATGTCAAATCTTATGTTGGGTCACATGAGGGTCACCTCAGGTGAGGGTCTTGTGAAGAGTGAGGCGTGGGTCACATCAGCTGAGGGTCTTGTGATGGATCTTGTGAGGGTCATGTCAAATCTTGTGTTGGGTCACATCTGCGGAGGGTCTTGTGATGGGTCTTTGAGGGGTCAGGTATGGGTCACATCAGCTGAGGTGATGGGCCTTGTGAGGGGTCTTGTGAAAGGTCAGGCATGGGTCACGTCAGCTGAGGGTCTTGTGATGGATCTTGTGAGAGTCATGTCAAATCTTCTGATGGGTCTTGGGATGGGTCACATCAGCTGAGGGTCTTGTGATGGGTCTTTGAGGGGTCAGGGATGGGTCACATCAGCTGAGGTGATGGGCCTTGTGAGGGGTCTTGTGAAGGGTCAGGCATGGGTCACATCAGCTGAGGGTCTTGTGATGGATCTTGTGAGAGTCATGTCAAATCTTCTGATGGGTCTTGGGATGGGTCACATCAGCTGAGGGTCTTGGGATGGGTCTTTGAGGGGTCAGGGATGGGTCACATCAGCTGAGATGAGGGTCTTGTGATGGGCCTTGTGATGGGGAAATAAAATCCAGTGAGGATCGTTGGGAGGTGAAGGGCTGGTTGGAGTAAGGGGGGTTGAAAGACGGTGCCTTTTGCTGGTTGCTTTCGTGGTACGACTCCTTCAGTGAACTTCAGTAAGTTGTTGTTGTTGTTGTTGTTAATTGCGAAGTCGTGTCCGACCCATCGCGACCCCATGGACAACGTTCCTCCAGGTCTTCCTGTCCTCTACCATCTTCTGGAGTCCATTTAAATTCACACCTCCTGCTTCAGTGACTCCATCCAGCCATCTCATTCTTTGTCGTCCCCTTCTTCTATTGCCCTCCATCTTTCCCAGCATTAGGCTCTTCTCCAGTGAATCCTTCCTTCTCATTAGGTGGCCAAAGTACTTGAGTTTCAACTTCAGGATCTGGCCTTCTAAGGAGCAGATTCGAGACAATCGGATGCTGGAAAAATGCCCAGCCCTTTTCCTGGCATCTTTAGGAATCTTTCCAAAATGTCTCCCTTTATAGCTGCCATTAAAAATTGGCACTCGGAGAGAGGCGTATCCAGCTGAAATTTTTCCCCTCAGAAAAAAAATGGAAGCCATAATTGTTCTCTTTTGAGCGAGGCGCCGTTTTTCATGCTCGGATCTTTGACATTCCCTAAGTAGATAAGTGAGGGGAAACTAGCACAAACAGATGTGATACAAGGGAAAATAGGATTTACTTCTGCTAGATTTTAAGCCTGTTTGCCTTGAAGCAAGTTCCAGGCAAATACAGACAAGTTTTGAGGTGTGTATGTGGGGAAAAAAAACAACAACCAGGCAGCAAAACTGGATTTTATTTTTATTTTTATTTTATTTTTTAAAAAAACCATATTGACAAATTCTGGAATGACACGGCAAAACGTTTAACGAAGTGGATTTGAGAGAAAAGGTTTTCTCCGAGGGAGAATTTTCAACGAATTGTTACAGCAGTGGCCAAAATTGTGGAAACCTTTTGGGAAAAGTGTTCAGTAGAAATGCCACCTTTGGCTAAGTTTATACCCATTTTGCTTATAATTTTTTTATAACTATAGCCTTGTTCACTGAATAATACCATTTTACATCGCTTTCTGGGCAACCAGTCAACTCTTTGCACCATTACTTTAATTTTATTACGTTTTACAAGCTCACTAAATGAAAGAACACAAAAAAAATCCCGACCAACTTGATAGTGATCACATAACACACTGACAAATGTCCTCCTCTCGGCTTCAATACATGACATCAATAACTGAATCCTACTGTGATCTGATTGGCTCGTTGCCAAAACAAGAGGACACCTGATTGGCTCTCTAAAGTTAAACACTCATGCTCATTGGCTACCATCAGATGAAGGAAAGCTACCTGATGTCAACCTAAGCAAGTTGTGCTTCCTTTTTCTGGTTATTTGGCTATAGCTTTTCATAGAATACAGTACAGATAATTGAACAAACATTGTTGCACTACATTCTTGACTAAATTATCTTTCCATTGATACATAATTTTATGGTACTACTCCACCCCAAAAAAGTGGTGTTATTAGCCATCAAACCTCAAAAAATACACTTTGCCCAAAAGGTTTCCACAATTTTGGCCACTACTGTAAGTGATTTTACATTTAGACAAGAAAAAGCAAATCCGCAGGCATAGAACAGGTGGTACCTGGCTCAATAGTAGTAACTATTGAGGGATCTTGGGGTCTGAGTGGATAGTCACTTAAGTATGAGCCAGCAGTGTGAGGCTGCAGCCAAAACAGCTCATACGATCCTTGGTTGAATAAACAGGGAGATGGAATCAAGATCACGTGAAGGATTAGTACTGCTTTACAAGGCCTTGGGAAGGCCACACTTGGAATATGGCATCCAGTTTGGTCACCACGATGTAAAAAAGATGTTGAGACTCTAGAAAGAGTACAGAGAAGAGCAACAAAGATGATTAGGGGACTGGAGGCTAAAGCATATAAGGAACGGTTGTTGGAATTAGGTATGTCTAGATATGTCTTCTTCCTCCTCCTCTTCCTCTTCTTCTTTTTCTTCTTCTTCTTCCCCTTCTTCTTCCTCCTTCTTTCTCTTCCTCCTCCTCTTCTTCCTCTTCTTCCTCCTTCCTCTTCTTCTTCCTCCTCTTCCTCTTCCTCTTCTTTTTCCTTTTCTTCTTCTTCTTCCTCCTCCCCCTCCTCCTCCTTCCTCTTCTTCTTCCTATTCCTCCTCCCCCTCCCCTCCTCCTCCTCTTCCTCCAACCTCTTCTTCCTCCTCCCCTTCCCCCTCCCCTCCACACCCTCTACTCCTCCTCCTCCTCTTTTTCCTTGTCCTTCTTTTTCTCCTTGTCCTTTTTCCCTCCTCCTTTTTCTCCTTCTCCTCCTCCATTCTTTTCATCAAATCACTTTTGAACTTGTCTACCTGCCAAACCTAAACAAGGATTTAAAAATAGTTCACACACCCACCCCCTTTGGTGAACCAGGCCAGGCCAAAAATACCAGATTCCCATCCATCCATCTTAACAAACACCAAGTCCTCAGGGCTCCCCTTGCACCTGAGCGTAAAAGGCAAATACTGCTTGCCTGAGCAGTATGCAATGCAATTAAAACCATATTGTTTTCATCTCCGTGGAGGAATGGGGAAGAGCAGGTGGCCTCCATAAAATTTGCACTCCATAAAATTTGTACTTGGGCCAACACCCCCCCCCCAAAAAAAACCCTGCTTGCGATGGCAGATTGGGGGAGTGCCGTTGCTTTGCAAATTTTGAGTTTTACCTTCGTGCAGGAAGCAGCTGCGAATTGCCAGTTGGCCCACCTGGTGACGGAGGTTTTTTGAAGTTTCAGCTTCCATATTTATTTCACGCTATTCTTCTTTTTTGTTTGTTTGCTTGTTTTGCAAATGGATTTTATAGTTAGGAGTTTCTCTGCTTGGTTTGAAACCTCTTTCTCCCTTGTTGGAAGAAAAGTCTTCATTCTGGTTCATCCAAGCCGGGAATAAACATGGCAGCTGCTTTGGGAAGAAGGTTGTAGTTTATTGGAGAGGAGAGTCAGATAGGAAGATGGTTCTGGCAGCAAGAGAAAAAAAAAAGGACCGAGCACATGTGGGGAGTGGGTTTTTATACCCTCTGAAGACTTTTGTTTGGAGTTATTTCCCCATTCCTATTTTGAGGCTATTTCCTGTGTCATGTATTCTGACCTGAGTCTGGGTGTGCCCTTTGGCCTTTGTGAATTAATCCTGCTGTGTCCTGTCTCAGGTGGGATATGCAGATTTTAAGTCTTTGTCTTCCTAACCTCCTAGCTCCAACTCTCCTGATGGTTTACATCTGCATTTGTACAGAGCTGGTTTCTGCTTGGGGGAGGCAGACTTGGGGCTATTAAGCAAACTGGGCATGCTTTTCTGCCTTTTTAAGATCCTTAGAGGAAATATATTTTTCTTCCCTTTTAATATTTCCTTCTCTGGGGGGCTGACTTCCCACACCCTCTTATAAATAACGAGCTGGAGATGTAGAGAGGAGAAATCCTTTGGCTGGATGGGGGTCAGGTCCCAGGTGCTTTTAATCATCAAAGGGCAGTCTTGCAAACGAAGAGGCAGCCCCGGCCACATCTGGGCAGCTGTGTTCTCTGTCCTGATTAGAGAGAGAGAGCAGGTGTTTCTCTGGCACCTTCTTAGGAATTAGTTTTCAGTGGATGGTGACCTCTTCTGAGAAAAGCAGTCGCCTCCCTGTGAAATAAATAGACCTTCAAAAGGCCTTGAAATGTCGCTGACAAGTAGTATAATATCTCTAAAATACGTGAAAGATGAAACTATTGGGACGGTATCCTCAAAACAACATGTGCCTGAAAACAGAGATGGATCTTACTTCAGTACGTAAGGTGTGTGTAAATGAAAAGTTTGGATATTTAGATAATCAATACTGGGAAAATTATAAGAATGGCTTGAATGTTAAGAGGAAATTAAGC